ACAACCAATCGCTCATTATCATTTTCCGATTGAGTAGACACCCCATATGCTTCAATTTCATCCTTTCGTCGCCGTTCTTTTTCTTCCTTACATGCGCCCAGCACATAGCAATGAATGAACAAGATCCAAGTACAGAATAGCATTGGATGTGTGCCTTTCTTTCTTTTTATATTTTTATTCTGATAAGAATGTTTATGACGCTTATTCAAGAGCTTGAAGATTTATTCCCAAGGTTGAAGTCGAGCACCAGGAACACATCAACGCTACCTACCACGAAATATTTCCATTTTCTATGAATTAATTACATCTAACATTCAAACACACTGTCCAGTGCTATGATTGATTGAAAGGTACCAAAAGCTCTCGAAGTGACGTGTAATCGGCATTTACCCGGCGTTTCTATCTGTCCGGTCCGTTCAAGCCGCATTCGAAGTGTACAACGATGTTGGAAAATATGAACTGTAAAAACGCATATAAGCACGTAAAGTGGTTGCAAATGCACAGCACAAAAACGTAAGAGCATGGTTTTGTTGTTGAATGACAAGTAAACCTACTCAGATAAAATGCGCAGTACCGATAATAAAGTATGTTTTTGTAAAAATGGCAATAAATTCATGTACTCCTTTGGTAACACAGATTTTATCGTTCAAACGAATACCTCAATATGTGCAACTAATTTTCTGAGTGTTTTGGCATTTAATTCGCCATTTCTCGAACGTCTCGGCTTGATGCACCGCATACTTACCATCCGGATTAAAAGGGCGAATATTCGAGTAAAGAGCAGATTAGAGGTGTGAGCGGTGTGCGGTAAGAATGGTTGATATCCACTCAAATATTATTGCACTTAATGCTTATCTCAAAGTTTTGTATTGTACGTTAATAACATCTATCTATTCTGGATCATTTCCTCTTCCAGATTAACCTGCCATTTTCCGTATGAAATATTATCAATTCCATTGTATTAAAGTATAAATAGGTTTAATTATAATTTACACTCGCATAGACTGCGATTGCTGCTGAAGAGGATGCTTTATTTTGTTAGCACAAAGGCGCAATAATTTTAGCAGTTAAAAGTAGAAATCAGGCATTCATGGTGTCACATCCAAACTATGGCAGCCTTCCTTACAATAACGGAAAAACCTTAGTTAAGTGCATCTTTCTAATTTTATGTACCGTGTTATGCTTAATGTGCATACCGGAAGTAACTACGATTAAAGCAAACAGCACAACAAATTAGGTAGATCGTTTCAACATCGTAGT